GATACATTACTGTCAATTAACTGCAATTCGAGACTATACAAACTGCGTTGTGTACAAATAGTGTACCTTCTGAGAGATTTTTCCAGCATTAGAGTCAAGTATTGAAAAGTGTTCACAACTTTTGAAGTGCTATTCCCTGTAAAAAGCTCTTACAATTTCTCAATTGTTTGTAACCTTTCAGTATTGCTCGACGTGGGAGAACTTCACGCAGTACAGTTTCATACTATTAGAAGTTGAGTTCAATTAATTTGTGTCTGAAGTTATTGAGCTCATATGTAACATTTTCAGGAGATACAAGCTGCCTGACTATACTTTATTTGGTCCATTCAGAATAGAATCAGAGCACTGGGGTTTTAATTGTACTATGTGTTGGAAAGGGGCAAAAAACTACAGCTGTTCCTTGGCTAAAGACAAGAGGCAGTAATATTATGGAGTCTTTAGGAAATCAAAGCCAAGAATATGATTGGTGTGTCAGGCAGTGGATCAAGCATACGTGGACAAGGGCAATCCATTCTGCCAAAGTCTTGTTACATTCTAAACCAAAGAATATTTCTAAAAAAGCAAATGCAGTAAGAAGTTCAGGTACTATATGGATAGACCAGAAGCAGAAAGAATTGGACATCTTTTTTTGCATTCGGATAATAATGAAATCCAGAACTGTCAATACGCTGTTCATAACCACATTACAGCATAAAATGCCTTTTTAAAGTACCTTTTGCAAAATTTCAGAAACGCTACTCAGTTTTCAAAAGCATTCTGTTGAGGAAAGTAAAATCTTGACATGAGCCAATTCCCCATAATTTCCTGCTGTAGGCAGTAGTAGGTGGGAAGCTCTGTGGATCAAGGACTCTGCAACACACACATCTGGCTGGATACAGAAATATTTAATACTTCCCAGCCGCTTAAGAATGTGAAGAGTCATGTCTAATCCATGTCACTTGTGACTTTTACTTACTAAGTCTGAAAGGGGAATTATAGCCAAAGCTATTTTGGCTGTACTTCTGGAGTTCACAGGAGGGCGGAATAAACTTTTTTAACCAACAGTGGGCTAAAGCCTTCTGTTGACTAATGTCACTTGGCTGGTCCAGGCTCAGTAAAGAGCCTGACTTTAAAGTCGGGATCCACCTAGATGTCTAGTCTGGCAGCTGGCTCAGCCTCTCAGCAAGCCGCTGAGAGCCTGAGCCAGCCGCTCCCACCCCCCTCCATGGCCCTGCGCTCCGGTAAGTGCTGGAGAGACAGAACAGAGAGCTGGTTACTGACACTCTCTGCATAACTGAAGACCGAGAACTGAGCAATCAGCAGTCTTTAATCACTCAGTTCTCAGTCTTAGAAGCAGCGAGAGACAGGTGCAGCATCGGACCAATGCTGAATCCACCTAGGTGGATATATATATATATATATATATATATATATATATATATATATATATATATATATATATATATATATATATATATATTATATAACATTTTTTTTTTTTTTTTTGGTAAACCCATACTTCTCTTTTGAACTTCAGAAAAGGCAAAATTTGACAAAGTAGAAGAAGCATATGTGTTTGCAAAGGTATTTATAGCTACAGATAATAAAAATCCCTTTTGTGTGCAGCAGAGTATATTTCAAAGAGCGTTTTTGTGCCTGGAGTACAGCTTTAAACCTTGTTCTAAGGTTACAGTAAAGTAGCAGAGTTTTTATTACTCTTTGCAGTAAGCAGAACAGTAAATGTGCTAAGTTTCAAGAACTAGAAGTAATGTTAGTGCAACCCCAAGTGAGCCAGTGAAGCACACCTCCAGTATGTGAACTCTACCACCCCAGTGATGCTAGGGATAGAAAAGGGCCCTGCTAAGATGACTTTTAAAATAATTTTCTGAAAAATAGAAAGTGGTCCAATACTTGTTCATGCAAATTAAGCAAGCTTGCAATTTTAACCATTCACATTTTCCTTTAACTTGATGTCTATTTAGAACGTTACTGGAAATCTCTACCAATTTTCTCACAGGTGATTAAAATGAAATAAACAACACCAGTTCTATCAATAAAAGTATGCATGGCTTCTTTATGGTACTTTTCATATTCACAGTTCCTCACCTACTGCAAAGATTATTAATAGGCAAGAACATCTAGTGGAGTGTCCTGTTTCTAAGCATTTAGTTATCAGTCACTGCCTTGGTTGGGAATCTTTGAGTATTGAAATGTTAGGACTTCAAATCTCTTTAACTGCCTCCCGCCCGCCATATAGTAAAATGACGGACGCAAGGCGGTTCTCTCGTTCTGGGAGGACGTCCTATGATATTCTCCGATTCTAACCGCGCATGCACGGCTCCGGGAGCGTGCAGCGATCGGCGGTGCGCTGTGTCCCTCGGACACAGCGGATCACCAATCAACGGAAAGAGCCGAAGATGTCGGCTCGGTCATGTGATCAGCTGTGTCCAATCACAGCTGATCGCATGTAAATAGGGAAAGGCTGGTTATCTGCATTTCTCTCCTCACGAGCTGTCACGCTGACAGAGAGGAGAACCGGTAATCGGCATCCCTCAGAGGGGACATGTACACTGATCATCAGGGCACTGATGGATCAGTGTGCCCTGGTGATCTATGTAGCCCCAGCAGTGCCACCTGTCAGTGTCCATCAGTGCTCATCCATGCCACCTGCCAGTGCCCATCAGTGCCACATCAATGCCACATTTCAGTGCCTACCAGTGCACATCTGAGCCGCCAGTCAGTGCCACCTATCAGTGCTACCTATCAGTGCTGCCTATCAGTGCCATATATGAGTGCTGCCTTTCAGTGCCCATCAGTGATGCCTGTCAATGCCCATCAGTGCCGCCTATCATGGCCCATCACTACAGCCTCATTAGCGCACATCAATGAAAGAGAAAAATCACTTATTTACAAAATTTTATCACAAAAACTAAGAAAAAACTTTTTTTTTTTTCAAAATTTTCTGTGGTTTTTGGTTTGTTTAAGAAAAAATAAAAACCCCAGAGGTGATTAAATACTACCAAAATAAAGCTCTATCTGTCACAAAAAAAATGATAAAAAACTTCATATGGGTACAGTGTTGCATGACCGCGCAATTGTCATTCAAAGTGCAACAGCGCTGAAAGCTGGAAATTGGCCTGGGCAGGAAGGGGGTATAAGTGCCCTGTAGGCTAGTGGTTAAATGGATCAGCCAGGCTGATCATTCGGAACACGAGTACTCATTCTTTTAGAATGCATTGTTATCAGTACTATGCGTAATCTATATACTGTATTTCCATGCATTAAAAATATGGGGTTTGCATCTATACATACAGTAAGTTAGGATTACTGGTGAGGGACATATCATCTTTGTTGTTCAATACATACAACTCTACAGGAAATTTGTAGGTTGTTTATCTGATGAACATTAGATAACCTGATAAGTGTTGGTAAAGCAAATTTTTGGTTGGATCCACATAATGCGGCAAGATAGACAAATGCTGCCTAGTAATTTAAGTACTGTATCTGCCAGATCTAATCTTCTTTCCACTGGCATGCAATAGAAATTAGTCACTGGGCATATCTGGGGTTTGGTTGATGACCTTACAATAAGTTCAGTTGGTATTTAGCTCATTAGAAAACCTGATATTCCAGTTATTTTAATTTCAGGTTTATTGCATTTGGATTGCTCAGAATGGAAAATGCAGTTCATTTAAGCAACACCTTTTACTAATATAAAATTTAATTTGCTTGGTTTCTACTAAACAAAACAAAATAATAATCCCTTTAACAAGTGTGGGAATCCCTTATTTGTGACAATTTGGTTCTGTAGTAATATTCGGTTCCTAAGGTGTGTGCTAATGATCAGTTTTACCTGAGCTATTTCCCTAAAATGCTAAAGCAAAGCCGTTGGTAAAATTGCAGCTGCTAAGGCCTATATAGTGTAAAATTGCTGCTGTCCTATGCACACAGAGGCTGTTTATTGTTTTAGACTGAGAAAAAATGTCCAACAAATTCATATACCTTGTTGGGTACAATAGATTCTGAGTACAGTCCTTTTTGTGTGGCACTACTCAAAATCTGGACAAACTACTGGTTCAATAATGAAAGACAAAACTGAGACCAACAGCTAGTATGTATATGCCCAATGCACAATAGGCAATGGGAACATTTGCTAAATTCCATCATTTTGTTTTAGTGAAACTAGATACTATAAGTGCTATGATTACCTATCCCAAACAAAACCTTTGCTGAATCCCTTGAATGTTTGTGGACAATGCTAATCACCTTTTTTTTATTCAAGTTTGCTTTAAGACTAAAAATTGGGCATCAAAAAGAAAAGGTAGATGGGTGTGACTTACCATTGGTTCTTGGGACCTGTGGATGACGATATAGCATATTATGGTTAAAGGACCCAAAGAGCATAAAGACATACTATCTGCTGCAATTGGACATAGAAAATTTGTAGTTCTTTTCAGCTGTGTGATCTAAAAAAACACCCAAACAGAAAATATGCAATTAGTTAAATCCTGAACAATGAGAATTTAAAGTATATATACATCCAATGTCTAAAAATGTAATACATGCTAGTCTATTTTTTCCAAAGCAGTTTTCAGTATTTTTACATCTTCAGCTTTGGTGATCCTGCCATGAATGTTCATGTTTAGACACTTCTGTTATACACTGGTGTTCTGTCCCTGTCTCCTGGTTGTTCTCCTGCAGTGTTACCATGTCACATGGTTTGCCGATAGACTGCAAGTTTCAACACACTGTGTTGCTATGTTTCAGTCTTGTTACCATCCCACTCTGAGAAATGCTATACAGTTATTGATAGCATGTGACTATAGTATTTCATACATTATTTTTTATAATATACACTACAATGCCGTAGGTTTTAAACCTACTTTGCCTAATGTGACTACAATAAGCCGATACTTGTTTGCTTCAGTTTCTGCACTTTGTTTATATTAATTGCACTGCTTCATTAAAAAAAAAAAATACAACCTATGTTAATTTATGTATTCCTGTCCTTATCTCTGTAGGTATCAAGAACAGATTTTCTGCAGGTTATGTCTCTTTACCGGATCAGAACAAGATTTGGACATTGACAGTGAGCCCTGAGCTAAGGGAAAAGACACCGTTAGTAATGGTTCATGGTTTTGGAGGTGGGATAGGACTATGGATTCAAAATATAGACCGCCTTAGTTCACGACGGACTCTCCATGCTTTTGATTTGTTGGGATTTGGACGTAGCTCCCGGCCAACCTTTCCAAGTGATCCAGAAGCAGCAGAAGAGCAGTTTGTATCATCCATTGAGCAGTGGAGAGAAGAGATGGGAATTAAGGACATGATTCTCCTCGGGCATAGCTTAGGTGGATTCCTGGCTGCGTCGTATTCCATGAAATACCCACAGAGGTGAGCATATGCAAGAAGCTGGTACCTTTAAGTCGGGACAGCGCAAATCTCACTTTTCTGTTGTTTTTATAGTCAATTCATGCTTTCTATCTCTTTTTAACCACTTGCCTACCAGGCACTTATACCCCCTTATTTACCAGGCCAATTTTCAGCTTTCAGTGCTGCCGCACTTTGACAATTGCGTGGTCATGCAACATTGTACCCATATGAAATTTTGATCATTTTTTTTCTCACAAATAGAGCTTTCTTTTGGTGGTATTTAATCGCCACTGGGCGCTTTACTTTTTGCGCTATAAATAAAAAAAGTGCAAAAAATTTGAAGAAAAAAAAATTTCTTTGTTTCTATTATAAAATTTTTCAAACAGGTATTTTTTCTCCTTCACTGATGTGCATTGATGAGGCAGCACTGATGGGCACTGATAGGCGGCACTGATGGGCACTGATAGGCGGCACTGATGGGCACTGATAGGCAGCACTAAAGGGCACTGATAGGCAGTACTAATGAGGTGGCACGGATAGGCGGCACTAATATGCAGCACTGATAGGCGGCACTGATAGGTGACACTGATGATGGGTACTGATAGACGGCACTGACTGGCATCACTGCTAGGCACTGACTGGCGGCACTGACTGGCACAACTGCTGGGCACTGACTGGTGGCACTGGTGGGTGGCACTGGTGGGCAGCACTGGTGGGTGGGCACAGGTGGGTGGCACTGGTGGGCACAGGTGGCACAGGTGGGTGGGCACAGGTGGGTGGCACTTCTGGGCACAGGTGGGTGGCACTTCTGGGCACAGGTAGGTGGCACTTCTGGACACAGGTGGGTGCACTGCTGGGCACAGGTGGGTGATCTGCTGGGCACAGGTGGGCGGAGCTAGTGGGCGCACTGCTGGGCACAGGTGGGCGGAACTTGCGGCACTGCTGTGCACCGATCATCAGGGCACTGATCATCAGTGGCCCTGATGATCGGTGCCGATCCCCGCTCTGACAACTGCCGGTTCTCGGCAGTACTTTCCTCACGATCTGACAGCGTGAGGAAAGTGCAGCCGAGAACCGGCACTTGCATTTCCCTGTGATCAGCGTGTCATTGGACACCGCTGATCACGTGGTAAAAGGCCGCTGTGATTGGCCTTTTACCACATCACGTGATCAGCTGTGTCCGTAGGACATAGCGATCACGGAGATCGCCGGGTGCGCGCCCCCTGGGGCGCGCAGGAGAGCGTGTTCTGGAAGGACGTCATATGACGTCCACCCAGAACTGGCCGGCCGCAGTGCAGCCGTCATTCGGCTATCTGCGGACGGCAACTAATTAAAGTGAATCTGTCAACTTTTGGGAAAATCACAGTAAGCAGTACAGAAATTGTTACCATGCCATTGTCCAGTAATCAGTAGTGTGAACCTCTGGAATTCAAATATGCTACTTACCATATTGCTGCTGAATGAACTTGGACATGTTGGTACACTAACGTTTATGAGTAGACTTTGTGTAAAGATATGGAGTGAAAATCCACATTCTTCAGAATGTTGAAATTTCATCAAAATGACATTGATAAATCTACTAGATGGAAATAAAAAACGCTTCAAGGTTATTAAAAACAAAGCAAACCATTTTCAGGGAGCTACTTGATGGTGGTACATAACCTTCTGTTACAGTGTTTTCTGTAAGCAAGACCGAGAGCCAAACTAAACACTTCTGCTTGGGTATAATGTAGTGGAAACTGTCCAACTGGTAATGGATGGCTATTTCTCAAGAAGTAGAGTCATCCACTGCTCAAGTGTGTGTACAGCTTACATTGCACTCCTAAAGGGAAGAATAGGGCTAGCCAAAAGCCACTTTATTGGGTACACCTTGCTAGTGCCAAAAAAAATATCGCCCACACCATTACACCACCACCAGCATCCTGAACCATTGATACAAGGCAGGATGGATCCATGCTTTCATGTTGTTTATGCCAAATTCTGACCCTACCATCCGAATGTCACAGCAACCAGTCTGGCTATTCTCCTCCGACATTAACAAGGCATTTTTGTCGACACAACTGCCGCTCACTGGATATTTTCTCTTTTTCTGACCATTCTCAGTAAACCCTAGAGATGGTTGTGCGTGAAAATCCCAGTAGATCAGCAGTCTTTAAATACTCAGACCAGCCTGTCTGGCACCAACAAGAATGTCACATTCAAAGTCACTTAAATCCCCTTTCTTCCTCATTCAGACGGTCGGTTTGAACTTCAGCAAGTCGTCTCCACCATGCCTACATGCCTAAATGCCATGTGATTGGCTCATTAGCAAGTTGTGTTACCAAGCAATTGTTCAAGTGTACCTAATAAAGTGGCCAGTAAGTGTATAGTTACAAAATAAATACACTCATATACATACAAAATAAATACACTCATATACATACAAAATAAATACACTCATATACATACCTATATCATTTAATAGGTGCTGCTAGAGTATAGAATTCTATGTATTTATTGTATCATGATGTATCTAACTTTTATCTAGTGGATGTTGCTTTGCTGGCGACTGAGCAACAGCCCACTGCTTTTGGCCAGTGAGGGAGCAACGCCATAGTAGAAATTACTTTGATGCTTGTTGTTCTGTTGGTGGCAAGTTGTCACAAGCAACACAATTACTAGTGTAATATGGCCCCTAGCCTAGGTTCACACTGAATTGCACCACTTACCTGTGCAAATCACATGCAATTTTGTGTGGTGCAATTTGCACCCATTCATTTTTTTTAGTGGCTCAAATCGCACCACATCTGAATCAAAATGGTGCAAGCGGCTTTTTTTTGTTCACACTGGAACTGGATCGCATGGGTGTTTATACCCATGTGATCACGTTCAGGCAAACACACTACATTTGTGACCTGCTTTTGGATGTCTTTAACTTTTCATTGAAGCCCGCAGCAGATTGTAGAACATGGTGCGATTTCTATCCGGTCATCGCTGTTTTCCCGCACCGAATCAGTGTGACCCGGGGCTTAAGCTGTTCGTTCAGGTCAGCCTAGTTTCTTCTGACTGAAAAGGAGCATAGAACATACACTTAAACTACAGGCACACCGATGCCTTCTGACTATGCAGTGCACAGTACCACATTACTATTTGTTGTAAAGAACCTTCATAAATAAAGGTTCCTGTTCTGCCTTCATTTCAGAATGACCATATTGGAGACTCTTATTTGTGCATACTGCAGCTAATGTATTTCCATATACAGTAGTTAAATTCTGCAGCCCTTACAACCCCTTTTTAAAAAATATTGGGGTACATTCACATTTATCCCCCCCCAGATGAGTTATCTATTCAAATCAATGAACACATCTAAATTGCATGTCAATGTATGTTGTCATGTTTACATTTATTAAAAAAAAATTAAAAATGAACAGATCTGAATGGGATGTAAATTAGAATTTAGTAGACACCCATTCATACTTGGCATAGTTATTAAGCAATTTTAGGATTCAGTTGCTTGTGATCTTACAGCTCGCATATTATCCTAAAATCTACTTCTTCTGCCTAATTTAAAAGCTTTTATCTATATAAGAGGCAATTGTGAGAACTTTATTTGCAGTATTTATATAGCGCCAACATAGTACTCGGCACATGACAGAGTACATAAATGCTTCACAGCAGGTCCTGCCCTCACACAGGTTCATAATCTAATGTCCCTAGTACACATGCTACAGGGCCAGTGTGGGGGGCAAATAGCTTTTCAGTTTGTAGATTGTGTCAGCCCCTGGAGGTAACCCATGATGCAAACATATATTGAACACACAAATGCCTGTGATGCATTCAATCCTTTTTTGTTTGTTTTTGTTGCTTTGGTTTTTGTTTTAGAAAGTAGCTGTATTAAGGATTTTGAACTACCTTCTGGCCTACTCAAGTTCTTGGGGGGGCACAGTAGAGTAGAAAAATACCTGACTTTCACAAGTATTCTGACACCATTATTGAATGGTGTTAGCATTTTTATTATTCTATATCAAAGATACAGATTATGCATTATATCCTTTTTATTACAGCAGTATTAAACCCAAAGGCAAATATTTATTGTATTGCAGCTTACCAATTCCACCAGGTGATACTGCCAGTAAGTCTTTTTATTTTTTAACAGAGCAAGCTGTCCTGCAAATGTGGCAGTTAAAGTGTTGAAACAAACCACTTACCACTGACGGGCATGCCTACAGTGGACAGCTTTTATTAATTTATGTAAAACCTTTTTCCCAAAAGGAAAAAAAAAAAGTTGCTGTGACTGCTTAGAAAGTGTTAGCTAGAGTTTGCCTTAGTGTATCTAAATCTGCTAGTACATCTAGTACTTCCCTCCCTCCAGACTATCAATGCTGCTGTCACAAGGTGTCTCTGTTGCTCCTTCATCCAGAGTAAGGGCACTCTAATAGAGGAGGATAGTATTACTCGCCAGATCACCAGGTTAAAACAGAGAGGAGAAAAGCCTAAGAAAATAAAACTAATGAATCCAAATAATCTAATGATTGGTAAGTTGCAATACAATAAATATTTGCCTTTGGGTTTAATACCACTTCAAGTATTACATTTAGTATTAAATAAAAAACAGGTGCGCTAAAATGTCAAAAATAACATACAATATTAAATTGAATGTGAAAATCCATGACAATCCATATATGAACAAGTCTTCTCTTCTGTGAACTTAATCGCACATAAACGTGCAGGCTTTGATTTTATATTTCTTCAATGGCTCCCAGTGCAGGAACAAGCAACACGCTTCCGATCATGAAGATAGATGCCAAAGAAAAAAAATATACTCCTTAAAAATGTGAGCCTTTTATTTATCCAAAAAAGATATAATGTGGTACAATCACACCTAATAATGGACAGTGTGAAATCACAGCCATCAGTCTGCTATTGCCGCGGTATGAGGCAAACAAAAAAATGCCAGCTCTTACTGGCACTGGTGCATGATAGCATCATGTACAAGTTGCACCCTGCATATTTAGTTGGAAACGTCTTCGTGGGGGGGGGGGGGGATGTAGGCTGGACGGGAGCCATCGCGCTGCTACTAAATTTAAAACTTGCTAACTGTAATCAGCACAGATTGACACTTGCATGACAGCACAGCTTCGCCACCTGATGGTAAGTGAGAAATTGTTCTATCTTGTGGCTAAAAAGTGGATGAAGCTAAAAATAAAAGATATTTATTTAAAACTATCAGCATGCCATAATGACACATTCATATACAAATCCCCTAAAAAGAGGAAATAAACTGATTTACATATAGAACCATTACACTACATATGAGAAAAAAATTTAATTCATACAGCATGCTCAAAAAAATTATAAAATAAAATACATCCTTAAAATAATTACATGAAATAAAAAAAGAGGAGAGGTCAAATCCATACATATAATACCTAATAGAAGGATTTCATAGGGTTGATTACGTGATTAAGCTATTGTACCAAATAAAAAATATTAGGTAAAAACTACAGTAGGAGGATTTCATATAAAAAATGTAAGCAACAAATGGGATATGTTCACGGTTCTTAAAAACCTATTAATATTCCATTCCACATTCAAACTAATTTTAGGAAGGGGGGCATAGATGTCTCTGTCAGATAACAATCTATTAATCACTGCCACATAAGCTTCCTTTTTCAAGACCACTATGCCCCCGCCCCTTGTCAGCTGGACAAATCACCATATCTTTACAATCTCTTAACTTTTTAAAATCTAAATCTCTGACATTACAGAAAGTTAGTATTAATATTTCAGGTTGGACTGGTGTCTTTATCCAATTTTGTCAACTACTGTATATAACTATACTGTATATATTTGCCATTTTTGTGGATTGTTTCTGTTACTGATTTTCATGCCATTGAAGAAATTCTTGTTCATATGTACATTTTAAATCTGTTTATTTCACAAATTTCAGAGTGAAACATCTCATTCTTGTTGATCCATGGGGATTCCCAGCCTTGCCAACAGACCCCAGTGAGGTGCGTTCTCCTCCAGCATGGGTAAAAGCTATTGCTGCAGTTCTTGGACGATCCAATCCTTTGGCTGTTGTAAGAGCAGCGGGACCTTGGGGTGAGTGCCTACCAATAATACCTACATACTAGTTGTCCTCCCAATAGATGCAGTCAATCCAGCATTTGACTACATCTATTGAGATGCAAAAGCTATATGCTGAATCATTTTATTAAGCTATGTGAAAAGGGGTCATGCCAGAAAAGCAAACTTGCATGGAAAAACTAATATTTTCAGGTAGTACATTCCAGATACACATCCATTCATACTTGTTGTGCTGAATAATAGAAGTGGACTTTGGTAGAGCGATTTAATTGCGCTGAATAATAGCAGTGGACTTATTTTTAAGTGACACTAAAATCTATTCAGGTATGAATTCTTAACTCAGAAAAAAACCTTCGATTGCTTTAAGCTTCCCTTTCTCCGAATACCATTTTTGTATTTATTTATTTATGTTTTGCTGCTGCAATCCAACTTCCTGTTAGAGGAAAGGTACATTTATTCTCCATGGTTCTACTGTATGTAGGAACATAGCCTTTCTGTACCCAAGAAACTAGTTCCTGAAAAATAGATTACAGGGCCATTAAGTAGTGGATGTGTATTGATTTAATTTTTTAAAACTAAGGATGTAATTTTTAATCTCACTTTTATGTAACATTAGAGAAGGACATTGGATATTTCAGGTATGCAAACTACAGGTCGCGTCTACTATAAGCAAGTGCAGATACCAGGTCCTGTTTTTGATATATATGTTGGTATGAGATTTAGGGATACACTAATTCTGCACTGGAAAAATCAGCAGAATCGGTTTTATGGTCCTTTTAGGTACAGAAAAAAACGTATCCTTTCATACATTCAAAGACAGGAACATATGAATTCAATCAAATCTTTCTCTTACTTTCGTAAATTCAGACAATGATCTTGGTGAAGAAAACATGTGTAAGCAATGATTGCCAGAAGATGTTATTTTTTTGGCCTTGGAAGGAGGCCAACCCTGGACAAATGGGTCATTTATTGCATATTCTATGGGACTGCCTCAACAGATTCAAGGGGGTTCTAAATTCTCCTCACCCAGCTCTCGTCCACATCGGTATTGACAAATGCCCAGCTATGTTCCGCTCTGTTGTCACACACATTCTACTAATGGCACGTACCATTATACTCAGAAATTGGAAGACCACGTTGGTTCCTTGAAAGGAGGCCAATCCTGGACAAATGGGTCATTTATTGCACATTCTATGGGACTGCCTCAACAGATTCAAGGGGGTTCTAAATTCTCCTCACCCAGCTCTCGTCAACATCGGTATTGACAGATGCCCGGCTATGTTCCTTTCTGTTGTCACACACATTCTACTAACGGCACATACCATTATACTTAGAAATTGGAAGACCACGTTGGTTCCTAACCCATCTGATGTAACTGCTAGTACAAAGAACCACACCTACGAGTACTCACTTTCCATATATTCTTCAACAAGTCATACTTTTGTTCAGCTGTGGAAAATATGGACTGAATGGTATGAATTAAGTGTCCTGGTAACGAGCCTACAATTAAACAATGTAATGGACCATTTGTTCACACCAGCTTACATCTGCTTTCTCATACTTAATAATTTTCTTTACTGTATTGGAGGTACTGTATATTGTTGCCAGTGTTATCCTCCCTTTTTTTTTCTTTTCTTACACTATCTGTATTTGTCAAATTTAAATAAGAGTATTGCAAAACAAAAAATCAGCAGTATAACTGTTCATTACCAGGGCCCAGATTGGTGCAAAGATTTCGTCCAGACTTGAAAAGGAAATTTGAGGAGTTCTTTGAGGATGACACCATAATGGAATACATTTACCACTGCAATGCTCAGACACCAAGGTAGGATGAATTGACCAGATTTATTTTAGTAAATTATTCAATAATACTAATTGTAGAATTTTTCCTGCCATTTTTACATATTTTTGCTTGTTTTAGACACCTGCTGTTTCATGTTTTTCTGATTACACTTCAGAGTATGTAGTTTGTATGGTGCTTCACTAGAGATGTGAGATAATGCACTTTGCTGAACTACTGCATAAAATATATAGCAAATTAAACCTCCTGTCATTTGTACCTGGTGATAACTGAAGTAGAAAGGAGGGCATGACAAGGTGGCGGCAGATTGAATCTTTATAATAGAGGTTTAAGGCCAGAGTTCAGCTACTATTAGTCAAGTCAGGGTTAAGGGAGGAGGCCGACTTCAGGAATCGGGAGGAAAGCCCAGGACAAGTAAGGGATGGTAAGTTCTAGGAAACTGGCCAGTACCACACAAATTGGAATAAAATTCCTCTGTCAGGTAAATGGGGAGTATTGTGTACTTCAGGATTCCTAAAGCTGGCCATAGATCATTCATATTTTATTTATTTATTTTTTTTGTTCAGCCAGCATCAGAATACACTGATCAGCGGCTGCAGCTCGGCAGAAGTCAATCCGAGGATCAACTTCTGTTGAATGGGGACGGTCACACACAGTGGTCTATTTAGATTTTGAGAAAGCGAGAGAGTTCAATACGTGTGTGTATGTATATATGATTCCCTCTCTTTCTCTTCCCTCCCTCTCTCTCTCTTTTCTCTTCCCTCCCTCTCTCTCTCTTTCCTCCCTCTCTCTCTTTCTCTTCCCTCCCTCTCTCTCTTTCTCTTCCCTCCCTCTCTCTCCCACCGTTCTCTTCTCTCTCAGATCATATGGGACTGCACACACACACTATGATTACCCCCTCCCCCCATCCCACACACACACACACATACACCTCCTCAAAGGGTTGCTGATCTCTGTGCAGTAGGAAATGTGGGCAGGGGGTGATAATCATACTGTGTGTGTGCAGTCCTATACAATCTATCAGTGATGCATGGACGACAGGAGGGAGAGCCCAGAGAACACATCACAGCTCACCTCCTCCGTGCTCTTTCCTCTCCGACACTTCTCCTCTCCCTGCTCCAGGCTTTCCCTGGTCCTGGCTCTGAGTGCGGGCGGGGGAAGAAGCTCAGCCGGCCAGGTCTGTCTCTCCCTCCAGCAGCAGAAAGCCAACGGGAGGGAGAAACCTCAAACCATCTTTCAGCTGCTGGAGGGAGAGATACACAGTGCGTCCTTCTACAATTGCTCTCCCCCACCACACCGATCCTTCTGCTGTCCGAGTCACTTACAGGAGTGCTGGTGGTACCCCTCTGATGGTGGCCCTGCATGGCTCTGCTCACCAGATCCCTTCTTCTGGGATGCGGTGTGCCCCCTAAAAATTGCAACCCTAGGCAAACTTCTTGTTTGCCTCACAGTAGATATGCCCCTGGTCACACATGGATCAAAATTTGTCCGGTCCCTACCTGCCGAATTCCTAACCATTTATGACTCTTATGACTCTGTATCCTTTAAAGCAGACCGATTCTTGTGTAAGTCAGTCCATGCATGCTAATGCACAAGTTCATATATGCATGTACCTGGACAATAGACATAAGCTGGGTTTTCGCACATGCAGACAAGCAGTGCCTGGAGAATGTATTGCCTGCCATACTATACATTGCCATTCAACAGCTGTAAGTGAATAGTTCAATAACGTCTAATGAGTCTCATGGAAGGAGTGTACATAGACTTGCATTAAGATGAGCAAGTAAGGGAAACTCATGTTGTGCCATCAGAGAAGGACCTTGGCATTTATACAGTGTTTCTGTTGCAGCCCATGCACATGCAGTATATGGTGCAATTACAAACCAGACGTAGATTTTGCTCTTGTTGGCAAAAGCATCAATTATGTTTACATAGTTGATTCAGTTTTTATTAAACATTATAAAGTTGGTTGGCACTTAAAAAATAGCTGAATTATTTGCCATTTTATCTTTTGTACGTGGTGTAAACTTATCATTAACTTTTCCTTTTATGTTGCTGTTAGCGGTGAAAGTGCTTTCAAGACCATGATGGAGAGATTTGGCTGGGCTAAGCGACCAATGTTGCCTCGTCTTGATTCGCTTCCTAAAACCCTTCCCATCACATTCATCTATGGGGCAGAGACCTGGATTGACAGCAGCACGGGGGAAAAGGCCAAACGGCTACGACCTGACTCTTATGTGCAAACGCTGGTAAGAGCTTGAAAAGGGTGGATTCTGTCTAGAAGTTAAAATAACTGATACTTTGGGGTTGATTTACTAAAACTGGAGAGTACAAAATCTGCTGCAGCTCTGCATAGAAACCAATCAGCTTTCAGGTTTTAGTTTCAGAGCTGATTTGCTACCATGCACAGCTGCACCAGACCTTGCACTCTCCAGATGTAGTAACTCAACCCCATTTATTTTTTTGGCATGTTCTGTTTTCTATCTAAGGACTGGTAAACTCCAATATACTCAATTTTTGTTGTTGGTTTTAAATACGCTTTACCACTTTGGTTACTAGGATTTTAGTCTATAATTTTGTTCTACTACTACTAAAATGCTGCACTCCCTGAGCTGTTCTTAATGTCTTTATTAAAATATGTAGGCAGAAACTGGAGTAATTGCAGGTTCCTGTCTCTGCATGAGATTTCAATAAATGTAAGAATAGTTTGGCGAGTGCAGTATTTTCTAATTAGCCTGTTGTGTACCGCCAAGAGCTGAGACCTGTCTGCGTGCATCTGTGAGCTGGGCCATCCTTGAACAGTAGATTATCTATTTGTCCTATGTAGACTGGCTATGCAAGCACAACATATATATATTTTTTTTTTTCTTGGAAAAGCTGTAACTAATTTATGATTGCGTTTTAGGATTGATCAAACCTACTAAAGTTGGCAGAGGTTGCATCTGATAGGACACAACAGAAGCATTGGCCATTTGAACGCATCTTTCAGCACAACTGAACACGGAATGTTTGAATGTTACCTCCATGTTCTTGTAGAATACGGGGAACGTACAACAGGTTTTCATGGGCATGAAGTTGCCACTATACATGCTGGAACCAGATGTATTGAGCTTTGGAGTGCAAATGCTTCTTTGTTCACGTGGTAGTAGCTCACAGGCCCACATATACTATACCTAAAGCCCAACTCTGTGAACATAAAAAATAAAAATCCACCCTTGCATTGCCTGACCCATAAGCAGACCCCCTCTCACACTTTAAGAGTTAATTACTAGGCTTGTTTACATGATTTCTGAACAGGCAGTGTTACTTGCCTATCTCCCCACTCCAGCCGGCTCCAATGTTGCTCTGTGTTATCACAATAAGGGCTTGGACAAGCAGGAGGGGCGGCTGCCTTGGGTGCAGTAGTTTATTGCAGGAATGGGGGCACCCTATGCTGAGTTCCTTCTGTTGCAAGGCTAGCGGGAGTAGAGACAGCAGCATAGCTACTCTTGTCAGCCCAGTGCTGGGAGCAGTGAAGAGAGGGCTAGGAGGAGGTGCAGGTTGCACATTCCCTAAGCTTGCACATCATGAATGGGAAGGGGGGGGGGGGGGGGTACAGTTTGGCATCTTTGCGCTGGATGGCCTTGCCCGACACTGCGTACAACACAAAATTAACCCTGTATTGTAGCATCACTACTCTTGTCAGCCCAGTGCTGGGAGCAGTTAAGAGAGAGCTAGGAGGAGGTGCAGGTTGCGCATTCCCTAAGCTTACATATCATGAATGGGAAGGGGGGGGTAGAGTTTGGCATCTTTGTGCTGGATGGCCTTGCCCGACACTGCATACAACACAAAATTAACTCTGTATTGTAAATTTTGGAGACTGGAGTGTGACCAGAACCATTTACAGAGGGGCTGCTGGGGACTGGTTGCAGTGTGGGTGGGAGCCTCCTGGAATGAAGAATAAGGTACGTGTGTACTGCTTAATCCTATACCCCTAGACATAAGAAGCAATTAACTCTTGCAGTCCAGGAAGGGGGGTGAAGAATGTTGCATTTTTTTTTTCATTGAGTTGGCTTTAATTTGTATCTAAACCCAACAACAAAAATTTTATATATTTCAGCTTAGATGTGATGGATAAATTAGGTTACTTTTTTTTTTTTTTTTTTTACACTTTTTTTTTTTTCACCTGGTGATCCTGCCAGGAAGACACTTCCTCTTCTAGGTTGACAACCATACTGTACCTAGGAGAAGCACCCTTAGAAGTGAATGTGTTAGGACATAGGAAGAGGTGTTTTGTAGTCAACAGATATAGCTGAGAACAATGCTAACTAATAAGTGTTCACAGAGGAAGAGAGCACTGGAAGTTATCAGCTCACAAGTTTTCTGGCTGGATGAACGTCCATTTTTTTGGTTTTTGCTCTTGTCAAACAGATATAATGAAATGCTTTCAACTGTATATTTAACAGACTATTGGAGAGAAATGTATTGTAAGAGGTTTCATACACTTCAATAATAATGCTTTGTTTACATAGATAATACAGCAGTGGTACAAAAATGCCAGTACACTGGAGACATTATGGAGGGTCAGTGCTCATGTGATCAAACATGGCTTACCATGATCATAGTACCATAGTTCAAAGCACTCCTTCCTTCTTCTTTTTTTTTTTTTTTTTTTACAAGTTTCTTGAGCAGTCTTAAAGGTATTGCACATATTTGAATTGTAAATACATCAGGAGTTCAACTGTTACATTTCTCAAGTTCTTCTATATGTTGGAAGAATTGCTGCACCAAAATCAGTAGTTTTTAATGGAAAAAAAAACATGGCTGTCCTGAAAAGATGCTAAGCCAGTCAGATGTGTTCATTTCTATGATGCATGTAATGGTATTCTTTGCTGCTAAGCCATATCCTCTCCTCAGCCTTAAACACTGGTTGTAGGTGGAAAACAGAGCCATCTGTACTCCAAACATATACTAGGAAGGAGCAGCCGCACTCTGACATCACATAGGTACAGGTTTATTGTCACAAAACTACAGTGACAATCCCACCTATGGGACCTCTCCTGTAATGCGTTTCACCTGACCGTATTCTATGAATAATCCCTGTTGGGTAGGGGGGGGATGCAAAGGGGGGAGGTCCATAGACAGTGACTGTCATTGTGGTTGTTTAGTTCCAAGTGTTCAGTTCTGCACAGTGAAAAATTGGAACCTATCCAGTTATGTCAACAAAGCCTAGATGTTAATGTCTTCATATTATATTGGCCTATAGAAGAGTTTCCCAAACAAGTCAGCAGGTTCCTGCAAAGGATCGTTTTTTTGGGATCCACTGACCTAGATAAGTAGCTTTGCGGAGACATGAACACCTCAGCTTTTGGGTAGTTGAGGAAAGGCATGGGAACCAATGCACTAAACAACTGGGCTTTTCTACACTTCGTCACCTCCTATCTTCTGTGTAGTCAATGAAAATATGATCATGTGTACACGATTTCTGTTGCTGCCTACATGAGATCTTTAGTTTTATATTTTTAAAACCTCACTGTAATATTTTCTTATCCTCAGGCCATCAAAGGTGCCTCTCATCATGTATATGCAGATCAGCCAAGTATCTTCAATGAAGTGGTGGACGAGATTTGTGATGCGGTGGATTGAGAGTACCCTGTGTTATCCAGAAATAAGGAAAACATCCTGGTGTATGAACCAGATTTACTAATCTAAAAACACCAATAATGGCTCACATTTGAGCTTTACTCTTTAGAGCCCTTCTTTTACTCCCACAGTGCCACAGCAGCGCATGGCGCCCTCTCCAGGTGCTATTCACCAACTGTATGCCTGATGATGTTCTTGCAATTGGAGCACCAACTGTTAAAAAAAAGTTAAACAAACTTTGTCTTTTTTATACTTTATATTGGAAGTTTGTCACTCACACATGTTTGAATATAGAAGGACTCAAAGCAACGAATGTTTGACCTTAATGTGCCAAATCTGTCCAACACTTAAGATGCACAAATAGGGCAGTGTGTCTTTTTTATATATACAGGCTCGAATCAAAAACAAGCACTGAGTAGGCATTCTAGTAGGATGACTTTGCACATGCATTGGAAGCCAACATTGGCGTTGGCAAAGGAGAGGACCCCTAAATGTGTAATGGGATGTACTTTTCAGAAACCTGTGGATTACATGCTTGATATTGCCAGTACTACCTCTCTAATGTGCAAAGAATCTGTTATATGTTAAAGTAATATCCAGATCAATCATAGTGATACATCCTGTGTTCCTTTTATTGTACTTGACAGAACAGATTATGGTAAACTTGTCGCTTTGTGTAATCTGTGGTATGTTTTATGTTAACAACAATGAGCACATGTGGTTCTAATTAGATCTGTATAAGTTGTATGAGATGTTGCATCGTCTTCTTTAACATTATGCCAAAAAAAAGACATGAAGTCTTTCTGAAATTCATTTGAGGCCAATAAAAGTCAATAATTGACAACAATTAAGAATTTTTACCATTCACTGATTTAACTTCAGTGAACAAAAATCAATTTGGTTCCTATATGTGTATAGGTATATAACAGAACCAGACACTACAAGGAGAGGAACTGAGGAGTTTTCCACAAATGTTTTATGTATGTGATATTGAATTCTGTTCTCTACTATAGTTCCTTTATGGTAGAGGAACAGTGTTGTCAACAAATGTTTAATATATTGCAGTTTACCAGCTCTTAGGTGTGTGGACTGCATTGGTACAATAATATCTGTTGATCTTGTAAAAATGCAGTGTCTTTGCCACTTCATGGGAACTGAACCAAAAGTATGTTATCTATGCTGTAAACGTTTAATCCCATCACCTTGCATGTTATGGAGGTGAACAAAGGCAAAAATGTTTGAAGTCCATCTTGGTACTTCCATAGATACTGTGGAGGAGTGATCATGGTGTGATATTAGGGGATTAGAGAGACTTTAATGAGATTTATGAGGGAGGCCTAGTAAAGTGCTAATTAGGCCAAAAAGAAGCTAAACTTAGTTGTCATTAATGCACAAATAAAGGCTTGTATACTATATAATCATTTCCTTCCATAGCATTTTTAGGATCCGTTTTTTTTTTTTTTTTTCTACCCCACTGCCATCCCACCTTCAGTTGAATGGTCCAAGCAAGCAACCATTTCTAGATTGAGCAGCAAGATGGGCCACTGGTGGACTCTTTGCTTTCAAGTCCTTTTGTTATCTGAAAGCTGTAGCTAGGATGTATGAAATTGGATGGACACACCTACTAAAAATATAATTAGTAAAGTGCACCTACCAATTGACATCTGATCTGTTTGCCTACTGCTTGATTGTCCTGTAACCATGTTCTTAACTTTCTACCTCTGTACCGCACTGTAGCTTGTTTTAGCAAACACTGCACACCCTAATATGTCGGGCATTGTACTTTCACAGAGTGGCTTGGAGATGAAAATAGTCCAAATATAACACTTCCATTTATTAACAACTCATCTGCCATCTACTCCCTTACCTGTCACATAAGTGATATGCAGTACTAGGATTGAATATTCTTAAGAATAACTGACTTAAATAAGTACTCTTGTGATGCATTTAAAATTAATTCTAGGTAGAGAAAATACCTGGTATTGTCCTGAGAAACACAATCATTTTGTAACATAAAAATTAAAAAATACCTTAACAATTCTGCGCTCTGGTGTATATGCGACTGCCTAACATAAATACAGTCATGGCCGAAATTGTTGGCACCCTTGATATTTCTCCAGGAAATCATGTATTTCTCACGAAACGTATTGCATTAACACATGTTTTGCTATACACATGTTTATTCCCTTTGTGTGTATTGGGACAAAACAAAAAAAGGGAGGAAAGAAAGCAAATTCGACATAATGTCACACAAACCTCCAAAAATGGGCTGGACAAAAGTATTGGCACCCTTTCACAACTGCGGATAAATAAGAATGTTACAAGCATGTGATGCTCCTGTAAACTCACCTGGGGCAAGTAACAGGTGTGGGCAATATAGAAATCACACCTGAAAGCAGATAAAAAGGAGAGACGTTCACTTAACCTTTGCATTGTGTGTCTGTCTGTGCCACACTAAGCATGGACAACAGAAAGAGGAGACGAGAACTGTCTGAGGACCTGAGAACCAAAATTGTGGCAAAATATCAACAATCTCAAGGTTACAAGTCCATCTCCAGAGAACTAGATTTTGCCTTTGTCCACAGTGCGCAACATTATCAAGAAGTTTGCAACCCATGGCACTGTAGCTAATCTCCCTGGTCGTGGACGGATGAGGAAAATTGATGAAAGATTGCAACGCAGAATAGTCCGGATGGTGGATAAGCAGCCCCAAACATGTTCCAAAGACATTCAAAGCTGTCCTGCAGGCTCAGGGAGCATCAGTGTCAGCGCGAACTATCCGTCGACATTTAAATGAAATGAAACGCTATGGCAGGAGACCCAGGAGGACCCCACTGCTGACACAGAGACATAAAAAAGCAAGACTACAGTTTGCCAAAATGTACTTGAGTAAGCCAAAAGCCTTCTGGGAAAACGTCTTGTGGACAGATGAGACCAAGATAGAGCTTTTCGGTAAAGCACATCATTCTACTGTTTACCGAAAACGGAATGAGGCCTACAAAGAACAAAACACAGTACCTACGGTAAAATATGGTGGAGGTTCAATGATGTTTTGGGGTTGTTTTGCTGCCTCTGGCACTGGGTGCCTTGACTGTGTGCAAGGCATCATGAAATCTGAGGATTACCAAAGGATTTGGGTTCGCACTGTAGGGCCCAGTGTCAGAAAGCTGGGTTTGCGTCCAAGATCCTGGGTCTTCCAGCAGGACAATGACCCCAAACATACGTCAAAAAGCACTCAGAAATGGATGGCAAAGAAGCGCTGGAGAGTTCTGAAGTGGCCAGCAATGAGCCCAGATCTAAATCCCATTGAACACCTGTGGAGAGATCTTAAAATTGCTGTTGGGAAAAGGTGTCCTCTTCCAATAAGAGAGACCTGGAGCTGTTTGCAAAGGAAGAGTGGTCCAAAATTCCGGGTGAGAGGTGTCAGAAGCTTATTGATGGTTATAGGAAGCGACTGATTTCAGTTATGTTTTTCCAAAGGGTGTGCAACCAAATATTAAGTATTAAGGGTGCCAATACTTTTGTCCAGCCCATTTTTGGGGTTTTGTGTGACATTATGTCATATTTGCTTTTCTGCCTCTGTTTTATATATTTGTTCCAATACATACAAAGGGAATAAACATGTGTATAGCAAAACATGTGTTAATGCAATACCTTTTTGTGTGAAATACTTGATTTTCAGGAAAAATATCAAGGGTGCCAACAATTTCGGCCATGACTGTATATCAAATAAAACATGAGCAGCCACCACAATATTGCAGGCAACAATACATAAAATAGAAAAACCTAAAGGTGCAGCGCTTCATATAACCAAAAAGTTTATGGAAAAGAAGTGAAATAAATTAGAAGTCCAATTCACATACAGTGGAAATTAGAATATAAAATAAGCCCCTCTTCACTGGTGTCCCAGTGGTGTCCCAGTGAAGAGGGGCTTATTTTATATTATATTTCCACTATATGTGAATTGGACTTCCAATTTATTTTTACTTCTTTTCCATAAACTTTTTGGTTATATGAAGTACCGCACCTTTATGTTTTACCATTTTGTAACAAATTTCTTTGTCTATTCTCTCCACACTATGCTATTCCCCACTCAGGAGCCAAATTTGTGGGTGTTAGTTTTTTTGTGGCAGAGCAGAAGTGCCACTACTACCTTTAACATTAAAAGGGTCTTCGCTGAAAAAAAATGTACTAAACCTTGCTGTGTAAAAAAAAAAAAAAAAAAAAAAAAAAATAGGCAAAAACAAATAATTTACTATGTTCCTTGCGAGATCCCAGGACATGCAGAGTAGCCAAAATCTGACGACACAACAGCACAGTGCAAGGAGCTTCTTCTCCCAAGATTTTGGCTACTCGGTAATCCACGGGATCTTGCCAAGTGTGCCAGCCTAGGCAGTGCGGTTGAAAGCTGAGGGAATGGTGAGTATATTTTAAAACTTTTTTTTTTTCCTACAGTGGGTTTTTTTTTTTTTATAATGTAAACAAATTGGGTTTACAATGGGGGCTCACATTGATTAAGCAGACCTTGCATTTTATCAAATCAGTAGAACTAGTTGCACAACATCTGATTAGTTCTCAATTGTAGTAAAATTAGAAAAACAAGACGCAAAAAGCTGACCAGCCTTACAGTATGTTAGTAAAAAGACCTCAGACATTGTATGTTAAAAAAATGTTACTTTTTCTTGTTGTATGTTTTAGGCTTGACAAAATCGTATGGATTTATTCAATGGCACTGATAACTGTTATTGAAATAGCAAATGGAAAATCTTCTTTCATTGGCCTATCTACAAAAAAGTAGTGAAAGCTGATATCTGATTGCCTTCTATTACCTTCAAGTCAATAGATAAAGCACAAAGTTGTTGCAATGGGCACTGTTAAATATAGGACACTGCCCCCTGCAAAGTTCATGTTTAGAGTTAAGTAAATGTACTAGCTTAAAAAAAAAAAAAAAACTTTGCCAGGATCCAAACTTTAGAGGTTATTATAGCATATGTTTTCACTGA